GTGGTGGTGGTGGTGGTGGTGGAGGAGGAGGAGAGGGTGGTGGTGGTGGTGGTGGTGGTAGTGGTGGTGGTGGTGGAGGAGGAGGAGGAGGAGGAGGAGGAGGTCGGGAAGTGACAGCAGGCTTCAGGCAGCGGTCATGAACATCTTTCGCATTCCTCTCAATCTCATCGTCATCTCCGTCTACCTGCAGTATGTCTCCCTCCCCCCCTTCCCTCCCCCCCCCACTCTGCTGCTGCCGCTGCCGCTGCCCTTGTGACATGACATGTCAGGATCGGGCGGCTGGGTGTTTCAGGAGCTCTCCTCCTCGCTTCCATCGCTCTGTCTGGTCTCATGTTTCCCCCCCCCCCCTCCTCCTCCTCTCTCTTCCCCCTGCTTCCTCTCTTCCTCCATGATCGCACTCGCACCCGCTGACTTTTGTCTCCTTCCTCCCTCTTCTCTGTCCTTTCTCCTTTCGACATCACTCCCCCTCCCACTGCTTCCTCCTCCTTCCCCCCCTCGCTCCCCTCCCATTCTCCTCCTCTTCCTCCTCCTCGATCCCTCCAGCGGCTTGCCTCGGACAGATTTTCCTCCGTGGAGAAGCCATCAAAGCAAAAGAGCAGGAGAAGCAATGAAGTCGCAGACTGCGCGTGTGATTTTACAGCTCAACCTTACTCTACTCGCTCTCCTCCTCTCCCTCCACTCCCAGCGTCGGGTCTTCCTCTCGAGGAGGAGGAGGGTGAAGGACCGTCTTGAGTTCGCGCACGACGTTGGATCCGAACCCCGACGAGATCACACCATAGCGCGGCTGATCTTCCGCCATCTCCCCCATGTCGCTCCGCTTCTTCGACCTTGGGGAGATCTTGACTTCCTCCATGTTGCAGTTCAACGTGTTCTTCTCCAACTTTGCGCCTCCCTTGTACCAGATCTTCAGCCCGGCCTCCAGGTTGCAGCTGATGTTGTTGGTGATCAGCTCTGGGACTCCTCCTCCTCCTCCCTCCTCCTCCTCTCCGCACTCCGAGATCTCCACCCCTGTCACAAAGTTCCCAAAGATTTCGTTGTTCTCAAGCTTGCACTTGCCCTGCTTGCACACCAACACGCCGTAGTTGTTCCACTTCACTTGGTTCCCGCTTGCTTCTACTGTTCCTCCCTCCCTCACTTCTACCCCACTGTGAAAGTTGCGCAGGATCTTGTTGTCTACTAGCTTGCAGCTCGCCGAAGCAAGAACCAGAACCCCGTCCCTCCTGTTCGACTTGATCTCGTTCTCCTCCAGCCTCAACTCCGTCCCCTCCCCTGCTACCTCCACCCCCGACAGAGCGTTCCAGTAGATCGAGCACTTGCTCAGCGTCCCCTGCCCCCCATCGAAGGCACACACTCCGCAAGCAGTGAAGCTACCATGGATCCTACACTCGCTCAGCGTTGGGCTCGCGTCTCCCACGATGCCGACACACGAGTTGGTCGCGCCATCGATGTCGCATCTCTCCAGCTTCGAAGCTCCCGAGCAGCAGAGGACGGCAAACCATGAGCCCGGGCCCCGCTGCCTCACCGTCACCCCTGTCACCTCCGCCCCCCCAAAGATCGAGATGGTATGGAAGCTCATACCGCAGATGACAACCTGCTGCGTCTCCTCCTCATTCACTACAGGAAGGTCTTCTTCTCCCTCCAGCACCTCCTTCGCGCTCATAAGGCTCAGCAGCCGATGGCCGTCAGTGAGCATGAGAGTCTCTTCGTACACTCCCGGCATGATTACAATGGTTCCTTCCCCTGCTCTCAGCGCCTGGCCGATGCTGATGTAGATTCCTTCAGTCGGCGCCTCTTCCTCATTCGTCGGAGGAACAAACTTGGGGTCGACGAGCTTGTACGTCGAGCCCAGCACCATGAGGACAAGCTTGAATGTGACTTGTTCTAAGTTTAATGCTCCGCTCTGTTCTCTTGTACGCTCCTGCTCCTGCTCCTGCTGGTCCTGCTCCTGCTCCTGCTCCTGCTGGTCCTGCTCCTGCTCCTGCTCCTGCTGGTCCTGCTCCTGCTGGTCCTGCTCCTGCTCCTGCTCCTCCTGCTCCGCCGCTTTCTCCTTCCCTTCCTCTCCTCTCGCTTGAACGAGCGCCAGCCGTTACCCCTCATCCCCCTCAATCCCGACTGGATTCTGCCAGGGATTCTGCCCCCAGATCTGCCAAATTGAAATCTAGCATATGTTTTCTGTCTTTCTGACTAATCTATTTCAATCAGTGAGGCAGACTTGATAAAGTAGTATTTCTTTGACATAACTAAAACTGTTTAGCGGAAATCTGGGCATCACTATGCAGAACCCTTGACAGTGTCGGGCGGCATGGCGGCGACATGGCGGGGATCAGCTATGCTCTCAGTCATTCTCTACATGTTCTGCTCCTCTTCCATGCTGGTTGTCAACAAGGTGGCGATCAGTCTGTTCCCTGCTCAGAACCTCTTGCTCATTCTTCAGGTTCCCTACATCCTGCTTGCGCTTCCCACTGACTTACCTCCCGCAGCTTGCGTCCTCTGCGACGTTTCTGTGGATCATGGGGATGATGAAGATTTTTCCTGTTAGCTCCCATTGCCACCATGTGACCGCAACTTATCAAGTTTGCTCGCTAGGTTGACCCACTTGATATGAACAAGGTGAAACAATCATGGATGGTAGCGAGCGTTTTCCTCCTCAACATTTACACCAACGTGATGGCATTGAAGAGCTGCAACGTAGAGACAGTGATCGTCTTCCGCTCCCTCACAACTGTCTTCATCGCCATCGGAGATGCTCGGGTCCTGCAAGGGAAGCAACGACCGAAAGCCTCTGTTCTGATCTGCCTGCTTTCTATCGTCGTTTGTACATTATTCTATGTGCGAAGTGAGAGCACGGAGATGATGCATTCTCGCAGCTACTTCTGGTTGTTTGCCTACATGTTTGCACAGACGGCAGATTGTCTCTACATCAAGCACAACGTCAACACAGTCAACATGTCTTCATGGGGTCGATCCTACTACAACAATGTGCTCGCTCTCGGCCCTCTCTCCATCCCGTGGATCTTGTCGGAGGATGAGAGCTGGGAGCACCTGGCACAGCAGGTCTGTTGGGATAGGAGGGGGAGGAGGGGAGGAGGGGAGGAGGGGAGAGGACGGGATAGGGGATGGGAGGGGAGGAGAGGGGAGGAGAAGATGATAAAGGAGAGGGGAGGGGAGGAGGGGAGGAGGGGAGGAGGGGAGGAGAGGGGAGGAGAAGATGATAAAGGAGAAGGGAGGGGAGGAGGAGAAGAAGGAACAAGATGACAACTACT